TGCGAGGAAGATGGAACGAGTTCGGCCGCAGGCACTTGGATGCCTGTAGTGCAAAAGTATAAAAGCCGCTGCTTTTTATATTTTTCCCATCAAATTAATACAATTCCATTTATCAGTAGTGTATGTCTGTAGGCTCAATTCTAACCTCAAACAAAATTTTCAGGATTTCAGTCAGAAAAGTTGAAAATGAGAAAATTCCTAACTATTGAGTCAATCAACGTAAAGTCTGCTTTATTAGTATAGATAGATAAGAATCAAAAATCTATCAGAAAAAACCCGTTTCCTCAGATCACTCGATTGACTTTTGAGGCTATGTTTACATGTTGAACCAATCGATATCGATACAATCTCATCTATTTGATGTATCGAAAACGGTATCAGGTGATCGGACTCCCTGCTAACCCATTGTGACCCTATCTGTTCCTTGATTTCGACAACATCCAAGAAAGTAAGTATACTCACACTAATACAAACAAAATGCAAATAGAATATGACACAGAGAAGTAACCATGGATATAGATGTTGAAAAAGAAGGCAATGAATACTCAATCAATTTAAAAAACATCATAGATCCTACGTACTCAGTTAAATCTTAAGCGTCGTGCAAAAATATCTATTGAAAAGTGCGGTGCAAAAAGTCCTACGAATTTTTTAAAAAATGTCAATTAAAAAAATAAGAGATTTGGACCAATACACATATAAAACTGACGTAGAAGTTGTTATTTCAAAAAAAAGTGATCTTAAAATCAGTAAGAATGGCAATCCATACTTTTACTTTCAAGCAAAAGACAACTCAGGAGAGATTCAATGCACTGCATTTAATGCCGATCAACATTCAAAATTAATTGTAAGTACTCAAAAATGTATAACATTTAAATTAAACAGCAACGCATGAATCAAAAACTACAACTTTATTAAAGAGTTATATGTCATGTCAAATATCTTGAACATAAAAATTTCAAAAAAAAAAAAATTGGAAAGCTGAACCCTGCTTGAATACTCAACATTTACCTGCATTAATTCTGTACTTTCTTTTCATAATTAATCAGAATGTAATAATCTTATGTTGTCAGTAAGTGAATTCATTTTTACGATAATACATCTAAAAGCTAAGAAAAGCAGAGTCTTCACAAAATTCATGTGCCCCATTTAAGGTGATTCGATGGACGCTATTTTTTTTGTCAGAACGACATGCGATATATCGAAATTGATTCCATTTTATCAGCTGTTCGTCATTTTTCTCCAATTTTGAGACCGCAATTCTGTTGTCAGGAGACTAAAGCACTCACTTATCAATTTTGACAAAGAATATAACGGAATAAAGGCGTGGTTTTCTTTTTGAGAGAAAATATCGCATTCGAGTGCAGTTTCAATATCAGTATCGAATGCGATGTTTTCTCTCTAAAAAAACAACGCCTTTAGTACGTTATATTTCTTTGTTAAAATTGGTAAGTGAGTGCTTTAGTTTCCTAACAACAGAATTGCGAACTCAAATTGGAAGCTGAAAAAGCTGAAGTAGCTGAAAAATGTAACCAATTGATGCGATACATTGCCTGCCGTTCTAACACATAATATGGCGTCCATCGAATCACCTTAACTTTTCATCGTTTGCTTTTAGTTAAATTTAAATTTTAATGGTCATAACTACTTTTTTCAATGGACCACCAAAAAAGGTACGAAGTTATGCATTCTGATACATGTTTCATGACAAAAATGTTCAGTAGAACACTATTTGTGCAACGAAAATTACTGAAATTAATTCCTATAAATTTAATGTTTCTTGACGCGTGCATTCAAACCTCCCGCTCATGAAAACTCAATGATCTGCATGAGTCAAACCGCACAGGAAAAATTGCCATGAAACTCTCTGCGACATGAAAATCAGGCAACCTCAATTTTGACGCTTTGGCTTATCTATATAAATTTTACCTAAAAATATACATTTTTTTTTCAGAACGGAAATACATACCGTATTTCGGACATTCGTGTTGAAATAAACAAATTATCCGGAAAAAAACAAATCATTCTAAGATCGGAATCAACCATTGATCACAATGACGAAGTGGAGACAACAGGACCACCGGATGAGTTTATTAAAATAAGGCAAATCATTGATAAGGAACTAGATGTCTCTGTAGGTAAGAAAATTTTACATACTGTAGGTAACTAATTTCCTGAATTTGGTTTTTAATAATTATTAGTTATACAATGGATATCGCGAAAAACGACATTGGTTATAAAAAAAAGGTCATACAGGGTTGCCAGTCAAATTATTTTTTTCCATTCCCTGACTTTTCCCTGACTTTCTAATATTTTTTGCCTGACTTTTAAGTATGGATCTGACGCAGTCTGTTAAAGTGAAAACGAAAACGCGAGCCCGAGACCGCCCGCGCCTAATTCCACGAAAAATCAGAAAAATCCCTGACCAACACTGAAATTCCCTGACTTTCCCTAACTTTTCCCTGACTGATTATTTTTCCCTGACTTTTCCCGGTTTTCCCGGTTTTCCATGTCGCTGGCAACCCTGGTCATAGCGACGCAATCTCTTCGGTCCCAACCGAATCTCCATTAAATCAATGTATTTAGGTATCTATGTATTTATGTATTTGGAATTGATTGGCAGTGTAATTGCGTTAGAAGTAGGTTAGAAGGGTGCCTTCACTTTTGGGCCGTACGACGTACACGAGGTGATCTGTCCATACTCTCGCTATATAGGTGCTCTAAGTTATAACCCCTATTGGCTATAACAACCAAGACCGGTACTTGCACTGTCGTTATGAGCGATATCCACTGTAATAGGATTATTTTTAATAATTACATTATTATAGTTTCGTTTTTTTATCTCGAACCGTTCAAAAGTTAGAAGAGGAGATGCCACCCCCTACTACTCAAACGATTTAATGCTTTTCCTAAAACTGTACCTCACTTCTCAACTACAAAACTTAGGTTCAATACACGTTACTGCTTCGATGAAGCCATCCTTCATTCCTTCATCGCTAAACCTCATGAAACCTGAACTTTCACGTTTAATAAAATCGGCCATAATAATATGTATCAAACTATAAACAAATGCCGAGATGCAAAATGATTATACTAAAATTATTAATTAAGTAGCAAACAGTTCATTTCAGTACTCATTCATGGAATGACAATTTTTCTGTTTCAGATATCTTGGGAAAATTCACTAGCTCTCCTAAAATCACGAAAATCAAAATTAAGGATGGGTCTGAGAAACGTAAATTTTTTGGGGAGTTCACAGACGAAGAATCAACTGTAAGTTCTTATACATTTTATAAAATGTTTTTAACTTTCAAAAATTATTCTCCTTTGAGTGAGTGAGTCAATCAACGTATTGTTAAGAACATGTTAACTATTAATTGTTACGTGTATAAATAAAGCATTACAAACATAGCTGCATATACAATAGTCACGATTACTAAACGATACTAAAATAATCAATTTAACTTGTTTTCGCAACTGTTTCAGATATACATCAATGCCTGGGGCGATAATATTCCGCAAGAGGACCTTTCTTCAAAGAAAATCAAGTTTTTTAACTTGGTATTAAAAGAATATAAAAGCACGAAACATCTCGAGTATAATTCAAGATCTTTCTATGAATTTGTAAACGAATAATTCCCCTCGCAATAAAATCCTTATATGTATTAAAATCTGTATTACTTCTGTACCATAGTTTACCGAAACACATGAGTCATACTTGCAAAATGTTTGATTAAAAAAAATTAAAGAAAGAAAAAGGAGAAAAAAAAACATTAAATCTTATATGAGGAAACCTATGGTAACATTCCATAATTCTCGTGAAATTGAAAGTGAATTCTTGCAATTCGACAATTATAACAAGCAGAAATGAAGCGAACAACTATTTGAACTCCGGAGTGGGTATGTAGTATCATACAAAATTAAAGGAAAATCATAAGTTTTCACCCATCCCAGGTAACATATGTTTATAAAGGGTATGCGCACATTTAAGTAGCCTTAATTGAGTCAGAAATTTGCGTGTATACCCAGAATTGATGAGAATAACGCGCAAGTATAATAATCTTAAAAATTCGATATGACACATATTTGCATGATATCATGGTGATTATCGTGTAATTTCTAGAGGACAAATCCGACATGCCTGGGAATTGAACGAAACCGCTGGTTAAATCCCATAATTTTAGCAGCTGAAACATACCAGCTAAAACTTAAATTGAACTGACAAAAGTAGCACATCTTTATAAAATAAGCAACTTTTTATTAGGAATTTTTTGATTCTTATAATTATTATCATATGAGTTTACTGCAGAACAGACCAAAATAATAGCTTTAATCAGCATAAGTACTACGTAACTCTGCATTGCTATCAAACAAGTACATATTGCCAATTTTGAAATAGTAAATAATAATTCAGAAACACAATTAGTAATCGATCACTAATCACAGTGATTGCTGATGGTAGGGGTTTTCCTGTGCGTAGCACGGGTTTCCTGCTAGTTTAACATACATTTTTCTTGGAACTATCTCTTTCAAACAGCATACTTCAAACATCCACAATTAACTCCTGTTCGGGCAACTTTTGTCCCAGAATATCCCTAGGAATTTTGTGGTCTAGAGT